GGAAGGACTACCCATGTCCTGCTGCCTCTAAAAAAAAAAGCTCAGAACATCATTAAGGACACTTCACACCCAGGATGTTTACTCTTTGAACTGCTGCCGTCAGGTAGACGGTTCAGAGTAATCAAATCAAGGACTGCTAGATTCAAGAATAGTTTTTACCCAGCAGCAGTTACTACACTCAATGCTGCTAAAATATAATATGCCTGTGTGTGTGTGTGTGGGGGGGTTATTTTGTTTTTTTAGCCGTTACATTTTCATATGTTTTTATTTTACCTGTTATGTTTTCTGTATGGCTGTGCTGTGCTGTATTGGAGGTCACTTTAAATTTTCATTGTATGTGTTACAATGACAATAAAAGATTATCTTATCTTATGTATCTCTTATACTGGCAACAGGCTTTTCACTGGTTAATGCTGGCACACAACATTATCTCAACATCTATTAAATATTTCTGTGTGGTGGAAAATGTATTCAAATCTTAAGTAAAAGAAGAAATATTGCAATGCAAGTAAATATGCTCCAAAACAAGCATAAGTCATGTGTTCAGACATTTACTAAAACAATACAATACCTAAGTAATTTTCTATAAACTGATTACGTATTTTGGATGTATAGTGTATAGCTGTCAAATAAATGCAGTCTAATGTGAAGTACTTTTGGTGAGCACCACAGCTGTGACAGTAATGACAACCAGCAGGATGACAAGCCCGGTGGCCACAGATATCGTTATCAGGCGTTGTTTGGTTAGACAGCCCAGATAAAGGTCTTGCTGTCTCTTTTGTCCCGAGTCCAAACCTTGACGATTTGACTGCGGCCTCATCCTGGAGGAACACGGTAAAACAGAGCTGATCATCCCTCTATCACATAAATAAAGGGAACTATGGCATTGTCTTTTGATAGAATTTTGTTTTACTTCTTTATTTTCTTCATCAATAAGAACACAATACTATGTTTGTCACTTACCTGTTTTGCTTTTCTTCTGTGTCTCTGCCAATCCTTTCTTCTATCTGACTGCCCTCTCTTTCTTCCATCTTCTTCTGCCAGGCGCTTGTGTTGTACATTCACAAATAGTCATGAAAAACTGCTGCATGACATGCAGCAACTGAGAGACAGATGCCTAGAGTATTTTCCCCTGTCATTTATATGAGCCTTATCTAGAAAGCAAAGGTCAGTGACTCCAGTGATAAAGTGCAAATGATTACTTCAGTTTCTACTCTTGCCTTGCACTCCTTATGCTTCGGGGGCGGCTGTAGCTCCAGAGATATAGCAGGTCGTCCTTTAGCAAGACACTGAACCCCCAGTTACTGGTGATGACACCAGTGTGTGAATGGCCAAGTAGTGTGAAAGCACTTTGAGTGAGCTGCAATGTATAGAAAAGTGCTGTACAAGTATCAAACCATCTACCAATATCTCTTCAATAAAACAAACACTCTTTAAAGGTACAATCAGCAATATCTTTACTTATTGCTTATTTAAAAAGAACAAAATTACTGCATTTTGAAGCAGTTTTCCTAACCTGGGCATGTCCCTTAAAGGTTCCCCAGATAAATCCAAAAAGGAGGTAAGGTGAATAACAGGTTGGTTTAAAAAAAAATACTGCAATAAGCTACACAAAATGCTATATTTTTACAGCCTCTCTCTAATCCTAGCTTTTTACATCCTTCCCTGAAGCAGACTGTACATAGTTTAACCTTCACAGGGTGTCTAAAATGGTTAAAATGTAACAGGAAAGTCACTCACTGGTGAAACTTTTTAAACTCATTGACGTACACTATATAGCATGTGGCGAGAGGTGGCATATATGCTACTTCATTACAAGAGGTCAAAGAAGCCTGGAGCTGAAACAACTGACCACACACTAAAGTTGAAATTAAAATGAATAATTTTTCTGTTTCATCTGGTGATGTGCACATCTAAGGCTAAAGACAGTCTGTTTACCCAGCACAGTGCACCACACATAACTAGATTTGATCAACTGGTGTCACTTTTGCAATTTTACAATACACTACAGCAGATTGAATAAATAACTGGCACAACACTGCAAGCTATCCATCTCTGACTCGTTAACAAAGAACAATAATCAAATGAAAACTGGTAACAGTAAGAAGGCCCAAGACACGGTGCTACAACAAAGAACTGTGAATATATTTTTACAGTCTACTGGGTCTTTTTTCTCCAAAGGTGGAGAGTAAAGGAACAGGAAATGAAGGGAGAGGGAAAAGGGGAATGACATAAAATAAAGGTCCAATGCTGGGATTTAAGGCATTTAAGACATTGCCATCAATGTAGCTGCATAGTGTACGTCTTAATCACTAGGCTACTATAGCGCAATACATTTCTGAAAGTTAACACTCTCTATAAAAATATGTCTATAATGAGCACATACAGCAGAAGGGCTAAGTGAAACACTATGAAGGAAAGAGAAAGAGGTTTTATCATTACCGACAGGCATATGGAGCATTTCACATATTACCTGCAGCTTTTAGTTCTAAGGTAGGGGTTTCAAAAAGGCTGTATGCATGATCTTTTCCACTGGAGATGACTGATTGTGATCTAAGCTCTATCAGCAGCACAGACTGTAATTTGCTTTCATGTCTACACAGCTGAGCTAAGTAAACGCCTGCAACCATAACCACAACAGTAATGATGTTCTAACCTTGGATCAGGTTAGATAAAGACAATAAATGTGACTTTGATTAAAGACATAAATAAAGACGATAAAGACAATAAATGTGACTTTGATTGACGCTTATGCCATAAAATGTTGTCACATTTGCTACAACTGCTGTTAGTTGCAGGCATTTACAAATAATTTCTCTTTTCTTAAAAAAAAAAACCCAATAGGAATGAATATCAGTGTTGTAGAAAACACACTGGCGGAACATTATTGTGGTTACACGCAGTGCAGCGGGCACGCGGAGAGAGAGAGAGAGAGAGAGAGAGAGAGAGAGAGAGCGTCACGTTGCCATGGCAACCTAGTGGCAAACCCGTACACCAACACAGCAACAATGTCTACTTCGGTGGCAAAATTGGAAAAAAAGAAGAGGCGTGAGCTGGTGCTGAGGCCGTAAGCTGACACTTTGTCACAGAGAGTAATTTTGCCAACGTAGCCATTATCAGCGAACACCCATGCTAACTCTTACTGTATGCTAATTTGGTATTTCTTGTGTCCCAGCTCATCTGGAGCAATAAATGTGTCGGTGTCAGGACTGCATGGAAGTACAAGACGTCCAAACAGCGTCGTCGCTTCCTACAGTGGAAGATATTTCAGCGTGATCGGTGGCAGTAAGATGCTGGAGAAGAGCGCCATTCAAGCTCCGAGACAGGCTGTTCGGGTAACTCAGGCTAACGTTACTGCGTACTCCCATGGACCTATTTTAGCTAACATTCTGTTGAACTTTTTATTTAACTACTAATATAAATAATCGTGTAACGTTAGCAGTTAATGTAACAGTATAAACCCTAAGTCTAACCTTTCTAGCTATATATCATGTTAGTGGTTTATTCTAGATTTGCTTTAGCTAGAGGCGAAAAAAGAGCGCTAACAGCGGAGATTTAGCCGCGAGCTGATACTGTCCCTTCACGGACCTGTAAATGCCAGGCGCCTGGTTTGCACGGTTATTAGCTTGTTCCTGTATCGGCCAAGTAAACGATAATTTTAAAAATATGTTAGGTTGGCTCATGACTCTGAATTGCCTGTAGGTGTCAATGACAGTGTGACTGGTTGTCTGTCTATAAGTGTCAGCCCTGTGACAGACTGGCCACCTGTCCAGGCCGCTACTGTGAGAGCTTTGGGACGGGGGAGGGTTCACAGCAGCACCGGCTGCGCGTTGAGGACAGTAAATGCAGAATGATACACCAGAAAAGTCTCCAGTAACACCAGAAAAAGTCGCCAGATTTGTCGTTAGTCGCTTTTGACAAAAAAAGTCGCCAGATTTAGCGAGAAAGTCGCCAAGTTGGCAACACTGGTCCAGAGACCCCGCCTCTCGCCCAGTGTCAGCTGGGACTGGCTCCAGGCCCACCAACCCTATTTAGGATAAGCGGTATAGATGATGGATGAATTGTGCTTTTTCATCAAAGTAACTGGAGACATGTACATTTTTATGTATTTGGGTGAAATTGCAGGCAGGCTGTTGTACATATACAGTGGAACCTCGGTTTTCGTTCGAAAAAGTCCGACGAAAACTGAATCGTATGAAAACTGAAGCAATATTTCCCATCAGAAATAATGTAAATCCAATTAATCCGTTCCAGACACCCAACAATATTAACAAAAATACATTTTATAGATATATTTTTACATACAGAAAACAATGAGAAATAAATATAAATGACTAATGAAATGGATAAATGAACATTTAACATCACTTTTACCTTTATTGAAGACTCTTGTTGGCGTATGGAAGAC